TCAGTGTTGATAGTTTCCTCCAGGATTAGATACATAATTTACAAGACTCCTAGCAAAGAAGAGAAATCAAACACTGATTTAAATCTTCCTGTGATATGGCTGCCTGAAGGGAAGCTCATTCTTGATGCGGAGTTCCCAAATTTTACTAGTTCACCAAACACTGTGCTTAAGGCTGATGGTGATTATGGCTGTCTCTGATAGTTCATCACATCAGTGTAATTTTAATTTACGGATTTCTTAGTTATAAATCAAGACCATCACAGAAAAAATTGCTGCCCCTGAGTCATATATCTCATCAGTGCATTCACTTATAAATCAGAGAGCTTATGCATCCTATTATTTCTAAGAGGAAGTTAAAAGTCAGATATTGTAAAATTTCATTTTCTCTTCATCTGAATTCCTGTGCTTTTGAGAAAAAAAAAAAAAAAGTGAATTCCATCTTTAAATTTAACTACATTTTTACATGAAAGTTACAGTGCTTTGATATTCATATTTTTCCTTAAGAACTAAGTCTACTCAAGCTTCTTAACTGCTTTAGCTAAATGTCTGATTGTGAAAGCATCAATAACTGTGCCTGCCACATCACTAAAAGATGATCAATTTAGGAAAATATACATTTGTATCTACATAGCTTTTCAGATTAGGTTCTTTCAATACAGATTTTGGTAGACAGAAACAATGTATAGCTTGAAATGAAGTCTACATTTTTAAAGAGGAAAAAAGCCTCTCAAAAATGAACCAAAAACAACTGAATAGGTTGCTAAGTCATAAGGATAACTGAGAAAATTATTATTGAAACTTCAGGACTGGAACTATTTCCATTTTTGCCACTAAAATAAAAAGCCATCAGTTACACATCTTTCTAGCCTTTATTACAATATGAGAAATACAGAACAGAGTTTCTAAGAGGACATTCATTATTAGTCATGCAAGCAAGTTGATTTCAAATCATAAATGCTAGAAAAAGCAAGCTTGTTTTTAACTTTCCTCCTACTGAGATTACATGGTTGAGAGCCCAAATTTGTAAACCCACACATTTGTAGAAAGCGTTTACATGTGATCTGGTATGCAAAATATTGTTGCAATATGAATTAAACATAACTTTCGTTTAAAAAAAAAAAAAAACACACAAAAACTGTTTTACTTTTTTTTTTTTTTTTTAATTCATTATAAAAAGAAGAGTATTTTGGAGTGAAAACTATCAAAGCTGCCTGAAAATATGTTATCTTTTTCTACTGATAAAGGAAAGAAAATGAAGAAAGCAAACAACCATAAAGTCTATCAGTTTAACCTGTAATCTAAAGCAAAGATTTTTTTCTATCACAGTGATTAAACAAAGCTAAACTTCTCGGGTCTGATTATTTACAGTACATTAGGAATATTTAAATTCAAGCAACCTTAGAGAGGAAAATGACTTTAAAAGGAATACAAATTTACATTGCTAGAATCTCGTAAAATGATAATCATATAAAAGTCAACTAAGATTCTTTGATGCTGTAGTTTGAGGCTTCCAGATATCTGCCCTCGGAATTACCTTAAATCTGTCAGAGATTAAGATACTTTATTCAGACTCAAAAAACGTGAAAGTTTAAATTTTGAAGATTTTAACTCTTTGCAAATTTAACTTTTATACTGCACATCACAACATTATCATACATCTGTGTTTTGTAAGGATTACAAGTGCACTAGTAGCAGTAATCATGAAGTTTCTATATCCAGAACCTATAGCTGCTTCAGAGGAAACCTGAAAGGTCAGTCTGCCTAAAGGAGAGCATTAATGTTACTGGGGACTACAAGGAGAGACCAGTATCCCAGCTAGAAGCTTTTACATCAGTAGTGAGGTCTGCTGACAAAGAACCCCTCAGAGAGCAAGACAAATCTTTAGCTATCTAGGGTTGGCACTTTCTGCCCAAAGTGGAAGCCAGCAGGAAGGAACAAGTCCAAAGCTTGACCACAAGGACCTGAAGAGGCAGTGAAAACTCTGAGGAGCCAGAGAATAAAAGAGGAATCCTGAAAGTTGCGTTCAGAACAGACAGGGCTTGCTATCAGGTGATGACACAACAGTGACCTGCAGTCAAGACTCAGCAGTGAAAATATCACTACGTTCCCTATGAGAAAGAAAATAAAAATACATAGAAAGGGAAAAAGGAAACTTTTGACTCAACTAGTCAGGTACAAAGACACCTTCTGATCTTTTTTTAATTAATTGTTCAAAAGGCTTACTGTACTGCAAACTCAGCATTTCCATGATTTAATTTTCTGTCACAGAAAATAAATAAATGAATAAAAGCTATAAGCTTTATAGACCAACAAAATCATAAGTGGCGTATTGCATGTTACCACACAATTTTAAGTAGAAACATCTGTAACAACAGGATCAGAAGTACCTATAGAGGATATCTAGCTAACACAGCGTCTTTATCAAGATGAAGCTGTGCAGGAGAAAGAAGGATAGAGTGGGAAAAGTATTATGTTTAAGAAACATCCCCTGTATAGAACAAAAAGGTAAAAAGTACTTGTCTTCAATAAATGTAAAAGTTTTATCTGAAACCACTGAAAATATTCTCTGTATTCTCTCAGATCCATTGGCAATCAAAGGCTCTAATTTGCAAGTATGATTATTCGGAGTATTGACAATCACCCACAAGGATTACTTGGTTTCAATACACTTCATCTAGTGAGATGTGACAGTAGGACTGTCACAGCAGATCACCATGTAGCATAAGAATCACTGATGTGCTAAACAAGTTTAGTGCATACAGAAACAGAGGGAAACAAACTGCATTCCCCCATTTTATGACTTCCTTGTTCACTGTTACTGTACCAGCACTTGTACACACCAACAGGGTGTGTTCCATTGTCTATAACGATAACTAGAAATTCAGCATCTTAAGCCTTGACAAACCAAAAACTATAAAGCTCAATCTTTCCTTTTGAGGTCCTCCAAGATGAGTAAGTCCAGAAATAGGTGAAAGATAGGGATAGAAAGATCTAATTGAATCCAGCTTCATGGGCAGCCCACAGGAGCATTCAGGGCCAGGTGAGCAAGAAGTGAGAGAAGCTATGAGCTGAAACACCAGCAGCAGGACACTGCACCAACAATTTGACATCTCTACCACTCACAATCTAGGTAGCTCATCTGTGAATTTGGACACATTATGATGTCCAGTGAGTGATCTCACAACGGTTAAAAGAAAGAGCCACAGGTACATTCTAATATATCAATTATCAGTGAAAGCTACAAAAAGGTGTCATTAAATCCTTTCCTGGTACCTTTTTTGGTCAATGTGCTTTAGCATGCTGTATTCTCAGCAGTCTGAATAGAAGCCAATCCATTGGTATGTCAGAGAACTCGCTGCAGTACACATACATCAGGCAGAAATAATGGGATGGAAGATCTACATATTAATGAAAAATTGAGTAGCCTCGGTGGGGATAGAAAAGTGCAAACTGGAATGGAATTAAAATTGAAGCAAATTCTAAGATAGCTCTTAATATATTACTGCTCTGTTAGTGCTAATATGTGCAAAATGTACATATCGGTTTTTCAGCTTTTTTATAAATACTGTTACTATTCAGAAAACTGAAAAATAGCAATTAAGAAGATCATAAACGTATGCTATAGCAGTTATAATATGGATCTAATTCTAATACTTTCCAGAAATTACTGTTTAGTATTAATCTTTAAATGTATTTAGGACCCTTTTTTTTTCCTTTCATCCTTTCAACAGATAGATATCAGATTACTGGAAGGAGTTAACACTGCTACACAACCTGCTACACATAATTTCTGTTGTAGGGCTGGGTTTTTTTTTGTTTGCTTGTTTCTTCTATTTGGGCCAAATAATTAAATTAATGAGACCTTACCAACTAGTTACAGATATAAAATAACAGATAATGATAAAGTGGTTTAACAGCTGGGCCTGCAAATGAGGAGCTACCACATGTATTACTATTGATAGCAGTGGGACAATTATTTGCAAAGTAGTCTCAACATGAGAATCATTTGTACATATTTACAATACTGTCTTTCTTACATTTTATCAGGAACATCCTATATGAACTGTTAGAAACTTGCTCTTTGTGATTTGATTGAAATCACTGAATAAACTCCTCTTGGGAATCCAGTCATCAGTTCACACCATCCTTTAGCAAAACAACAACTGATATTTCAAATTTGAAGAGCTAAGGTAAACCCTGTATAAGATGGGTTGGCTTAACTTTCCTGCTCTCAGGACTGCAACATTCCTGATCCCCAAAACTTCTCAAGTTACAGCTATGGCTTAATACTTCGCTGTCATTGAAATACTCTTTGATAAGCTATTCTCTGAACCTTATTGGAATGGTGAATTTTGAAACAAATATGCTCAATGCACGTGAAGACCTTAGTTACCAGAAAACTTGCAGAATACAGTAAAACATAAATTAGAAACACTTCCCAAGGAAAGGTAGTTTATTTCCTCTGTTATTATGTAATAATGCCTAATTATATCTAAAAACTCCAAATTCTCCCTTTATATACAAGAAATATATTTATTTCAGTAGTTCAGCATCCCAGTGTTTCAACCAAATCAGAAGAGGTCATATAGTCAAAATGTCCCTTTTACAAAATACATTTCTATCCCTTTGCATTCTGTCCATATTTGAAAGACCCAAGCAATATATATGTGTGAAATATTTTGTCTGACACTTTCTTTTGAACTATGAATTACTACTTCTCTGCCTGACTTCATAGTCAAACCAAGGAATATCAGATATATAATGATTCTAAAATATAATTTAAAGCAGCAGGAGAATATGTAACACAACTTAAAAAAAAAAATTTAAAAACCTCATTTTTATTTTTTTATGTTATTTTTTGCAGTCTTCTCAAAAAAGAGAATGAAATAACTTTTCTATGGCAACTAATAGAAATCCTCAACATTTCTGAAGTGTAATAAAGTAATATACAAATGGTTGTATTTCTGTAATGTCTGCATCATAGTTAAACTACCACTTACATTTAGATGAAGTTGATTGGTCCAATGACCAATTATTTTGTATTCTGTACTCTTGTTGGTGATCTGATACTGAAAAATATCATAACGTCCAGGAGCATCTCCATTTTCATTGAAGATAACAGGTGTTCCAGCACTCCCTGAAAAAAAATTAAAAAGCAATTAGGATAAATACCTTTACAGTAATTTTCAAGAAAAATACGTACTCTGGAAGAAAAGTACTAATTAGAGGCAGTTGATGACAATAAGTAGGTTCTTCTTAATGCAATGCTACTATTGTACTAAATCCAAAAAAATCTCACAAAGAAAATGTGTGATATTATAATAAAATCCCCCTTATACGTAAGTTAACTAAAACAACACTGAAAAAAAAATCCAAACATCAGTAGTGGAAGAGTTACTTTTGACATGCAAAAAGGTACAATTTCATTTTTGGATTTGAATATAATGCAGTAGACTCAAATAGCAATCTTGGAATTAACTCCTTAAAGAACTTCTCTATTAAGTATGAAAACAAATGAATATGTTCAATGTAAGTGCCAATGCTTATAAAAGACCTTGAGGAACAAGTGACTAAATCTGGTCTCAATTAATGTAATCAGCTTGTAGCAGTGACCACCTGTGTAAAAGCGTTTTATCAAAATAAACTGAGGTTAGCAGCCGTGTCTGTTGCTCTCTCTTCTACACACGACACTGTCAGACAGAAAGGTCCATTGCTGGAGCTGTCAAAAGTTATAAATCGGCACTCTGTTCTTACTTCGATCAACAAAATGTTCAAAGATTGAAAAATACGTGTCTACCTTGGAAACTAGGCCAGCCAAATTAGAACATGTTTTGATGAATTTCTACAAGGTGACATCACCGTCAGGGATCTGCACTTCTACAGAGGCTTTTTGAAAACTGCACAAAGAATGTTATATTCACCAGCTTCTCAGGTTCATACATACAGAGGAAATAAATTTGTAATTGGGGTCCACTGACAAACATGCAAGTATCTTATTTTACAGTAACCGGAAAATGAAAAACATGTTTACAGAGTCAAAAAACAAATAAACAAAAACACAAAACAACAGTGTTTTTACATTTCTCCATGTGAATCTTTATTCAAAGACAAAAAGAAAGTATCTTGTTCATGGTAAAATCCTACAGTATAACCTTGTTAATGCAGTACTTAGAAGTACTAAGTCCACTGCATGAGTGTCTTCCAGAGAATGGCAAAAAAAAAAAGCTTGAAAGTCTGCGTAAATATTACATAGAAGTTAGCCAGTGGAAGTGGGGGTAGCAATCTACATACCCCAGAATTTCAGCATAAATACTTCCTTTATCTCTGTCATCCCTAAACTGTTATGTTCTCCTGCTTTGTATAACAGTTTTTATACAAAACTGATAACCAGTGAAATAAACAGAGCTTTCTGAGTGACAACTGGCACATTAATCACTGTGCCAATTTCACAGTTCTGCCAGCAAAACTTTGGCAGCAAAAATTAGATATGAGTAACTATGAAAGAGGAGTATCAACAGATTATGTGTGATAAATACTTAAGACCCCATTAAAATACAAGAGACTCAATACAAAATTTTGGAAATCTCTTCATGTTTTGCCTTCAATTCCTTTGACAGAACGAACTGCAGTCTACAGTCATAAGCAGAGAAATTATTCTTCACTGCACAAACAAATGGTTGATCCAATAAAATTCTTTCATAAAATAAACACAAACTCAGCAGTTTACTGAGTAGCTACTGAGGTAACCTTCAGACTATTGCTCTCAAGTAGCAATAGGATTCATCTTTCTACTCAGCGGCATTTAAGCAGCTCATGAAAAGTGCAAGTATCTTTTACCAATAGGTGCAAAGTGTCATTTGTTCCAAAGATCAATTGGGACTTCAGTCATTTTTATGCTCAGCAAAAAGTGAGCTTAAAATCTACTGCTTTTTTCTTTTTTTAGAAATATCAGGTACAAAGACTACATAACACAATAAAAACGATAACCATCTTCTTCTTTGATATAGTCATGTTTTCAATTAGAGCATTTCACACTGCCCTCCTCAGCTGACAGTGGCAAAAATTCTGCTCAATTCATCTGTCACTTAACTGAATCCAACACAATCTGTCTTACAGCAGAAGTTGCAACTGCTCTTCACACACCCTTCAAGCATATATGTCAGAAGCTGGGAAGTGGGGGAGAAACATCTCTCCTGATGTAGGAAAAGATTAAGTTTGTGACCAGCTGAGTAGCCTAAATATCTGTAAGTCTATGGGTCTTGATGAAATACATCCCAAAATCCTGAGAGAATTGATCAATATAGGTGCCAAAACATTCTTGATGACATTTGTAAATTCTTGGCAGTCAGATGAAATCCCTTGTGACTAGAAAAAAGGCAACATCACATCCATTTTTACCCAGGGAACTACTGACCTGTCAGCCTCACCTCTGTGCTGGAGAAGATCACAGAGCAGATCATCCTGGAAACTGCGCTAAGGCACATAAAAAAGAAGGTGATCCGAAACAACCAGCAAGGCTTCACCAAGCACAGGTCCTTCCTGACCAAACTTGTGGCCTTCTATTATGGTGTAGCTGCACCAATGAACAAGGGAAGAGCTATTGATGTAATCTATCTGGATTTAAGAGAGATCTTTGACTCAGTCCTCCAGAACTTCCTCCTTTCTAAATTGGGAAGATATGGATTTGATGGGTGGACTGTTGATTAGACAAGGAGATTGTACCCAAAGAGTAGCGATCAATGTCTCAATGTCTGGATGGAAATCAGAGACAAATGGTGTCCTTCAAGAATCAGTACTGGGATCGATGCTCTTTATGATCTTTATCAGTGACATTAACAGTGGGATCAAGTGAACCCTTAGCAAGTTTGCAGTTGACAACAAGCTGTGTGGTGCAGCTGACACAACCAAGGGATGGGATGCAATGCAGAGAGACTTGGACAGGTTGAAATAATAGGATCAGGATGTTTAGCAAGATTTTAGCAGAAGCTTTGAAAGTGTAAGTAGAGAATGAAACTATAGTTCTCGATGCTCTGAACAAATCATCAACAATTAATCAGTGTTCTTAAAAGAATGTTATCTTCTCTGAAGAATATTATGACCTGATGGATGATTTAGATGAATCTGAATCAGGCTAGTCAAAAAACAAAAAGGAAATGTTTTACCTAAGAAAATATACTTTGTTTGGAAAACCCATTAAATATATGGTTTACTAAAATTAAAGTGAATATATTTATGGAAAAACTGCCTAACACAGTATAGAAACTAGATGATCTAATAAACCTGTATGGAGAAATACTGAGCCTGACTGTAACTTATCATGTCAGTGGAGACACATCCAGATTCAGGCACTTTAAGGAACCTCACTAAGTTGTACAAGCACCTCCTTTTATGACAACCTGACAAGAAGAATTAAGCATTCTTAATATCCTCTATAATATGCGATTGTATACTGGCATGCGTGCTTGTACAGTATTATTGCCATTACAGGGAACTGCATTTTAGTATTAGTTTTATACATTTTATTCTATGCAGTTATGTTGTGATGTATCATTTTAACCCGTGATTGACTAAAACATAAGTATATGGCAAAATTTCAAGAAGACATGACAAGTTTGGCTAACTATTGAAAAATATGGGTGAAGCTTCATCTTTCCTTAATTATTTTTAATAATTTATTTTATAATATATTTTATTTTTTATAAGCTTTGCTACTAACTTATTATGATATTCATTTCTGATGATTATCTTTGCTGAGTGATTCCAAGCTACTTTTAGATTATTATTACAATTATTATAAATGTTTAACTGTATACTGATATGTGGAAGAAAAATTTAAAATTTTATAACAAGGTACAATGAAGCATTGTTCAAATGGTTTTCAGACTTTTTTGAAATCCTATTCCTTTTTATTTGAAAAGGTACAACAAAAGAGGAAAATGAACTTATTTAACATACTCAGACTAAGAAGGAAAGTTGAGAGGTTGAGTCCCATGGTTAGCCTAGGTTTAAATTGCTCATTTCACTTTATAGAAATTACAAAGGCTGTTCCGAAAGTAATGCCTCATATTTATTATGTTGGCATAAGACATCAGAGGCAGATGGTGGTGGTATGGCAGTAGAGGCTGAATCTTCCCACAGTATCCTGTTACATGTTGTTGCCGTGCAACAGATGGCAGCAGAGGGGCGATCTGACAAATAGCATCTAACATGGAAGTACTTATGCAAAAGTGTGTCACTGAATTCCACTATGCAGAAAAAAAATGACACCCACTGATAATTGTCAATGCTTCCTTAACATTTATTGAGATCAAACCGTGGATGCCTCACTGCTGGGAGGCAGTGAGTAGTTCTGAACTGATTACAGCGTTCTAAAAGCAGAACTTTTTCTATGTGCAGTGCTGTGGTTTAAGAGACAGACAGAGAAAAGACAGACAAAGCAGCACTGGGTTGTATGAACAACTCCGAGTTTCTCATGTTGCAAAGAAGGCGCTTGTTTACTACTCAATATAATTTTAATACTCATGTAGGTATATATGAGGAGGTCACCTAAAAGCTTCACTTTCTTTTATACACTGCATATCAAGTCCCCCCCCTAGTTCTTGATGGACTGAATAACTAATAAATAGACATTGATTTAAAATCACTCCATAATCAAACAAATCAAATATTTTTCTTTAAAATCTATATTTGGATGCACTGTCAAATAGCTCTGCCATTATTCAATTCAAATCCATACCCACAGCATAAAAGAATAGGTTACAATTTATTAGGATTGAAGACACACTTACTTATTGTAGATATTAAGTGATAATGTGATACTGAGGGAAATTCTTCCTCCTCCTTTCTGTTCCACAGGCAGCAGCATTAAGCAATGACGGATGTTCAACTAGTACTTAAGCTAAGCATTACCAAAGTAATGTGTCTGTGATATTGGTAGCTTAAGAGTCTTTCAAAACATAGCTTAGACTATCCAAAAATGTTCAACAGAAAAGAAAAAAAAGCGCATGAGCTTATTAATTCAGAATCAAGGATGAATTGGATCCCTCTGAATTTTTATTGCCTTACACTGATGTTAAGGAAGACTGCTTTTGATAAACAACTGCTTTATGACAAGCTGTATGTACACTGAACTTGAAA